TTCGCGTTCAATGGCGTGTAGTTCGGCCTGCCGGCTGGAGGAGCTTAAAAAGACTGGTCTGGCCTTCCTCCCCGAGCTGGTTCTTTCTTCTTCTTGTTGTCCCCATGGGTCGAGGACTCACCTTCTCTTTTCCCCTTTTCAGGCGGGTTCTCATTTTTCTGGTTCATCTCCTCCTCCGTTTCGATGAACCGGTCCGCGAGCTTGAGGAATTCAGTTACATCCTTAGGTCTGTTGACAACCACATTCCACTTGAACTCCTTGTGCGTTTTGCCTCTCTTGGCTGTTGTGAGCCTCATCGCGGGGTCCAAGTCAGGTATCTATAGACATGCATCGTTGAATCTTTTGATGTAGTTGCGGATGGACTCCCCTTCCCTTTGGACTGTGCCAAGGAGGCTTTCTTGTGTCCTCGGGCATCTCTTGCTGGAGACAAAGTGGGAGGTGAAAACTTGCACGAACTGCGCCTAGCTTTTGATTGAACCGGGCGCGAGGTTCCTGTACCACGTGCGAGCTACTCCCTTGAAGGTGGTGGAGAAGACTACACACATGCATGGCTCACTTGCCCCAACTAAATGTGTCTGTGACTGAAAAGCATCTACATGATCATTCGGGTCGAATGATCCATCGTATTTGTCTAGGGGAGGTACCTTGAAGTCTTTGGGCATTGGGACAGCCAGGAGCTCGGGAGATAGAGGAGATGGTATAGAGAGGAGCGGGGTGGTCGTCACTGCTCCCGAGCTCGCCTCTTCTTTGGGGAGTTTAGGCAGGCGCTGGGCTGTAGCTCGGCGAGCTTGGCGACGTCTCCGCTGCTTCTTCATTGGCTTTGCATTAGTGCTACTGGCCTTTGTGTTATCGGGCACGGTAAGCCCGGGAAGGGGCTCAGACTGTTGCCGATGGCTGTGGACCGAAGGGCCCTGTCTATAATCCGCAGCCAGGACTTTGAACTGGTTCTCAACGAGCGGGATCTTGAACTGCGAATGCCGAGGTGATGCGGGCCTGGACGACTAAGAGTCCCCCGACCTGATTACATGCTGCGAGGTGGAGGGAGTAACTTGTCTTTCCCTCCCACGGGATGAGACCTGACTCCCAAGAGGGTTCTGAGTTTGGGAGGTCTCTACCCGGCGAGGGGGTTGCTCGTTGCAACGGCGGGGCTTGGCTTGCTGTGCAGTGGGGTGTCGAGGAGGAACTTGTTGCTGGTTCTGGGGCAGTGGTGGAAACTGCTGTTGATACTGGTGTTGATAGACTTCGTGCAACACTTGCTGCTGATACAGCTGAAACTGTTGCATTTGGGCCTGCATAGCTCGCATACAGTGCACTAGTTCTTCCAACTGGTTTTGGCCGGTCGCTGGAGGAACAATGGATGGTTCGACGAAAGTTGCTCCTACTGTGGAGGGGAGTGAAGCGTTCACTGGTGCCATTAGTTGAGGCACATTCAAAGTAGGAACTCCATCTGCAGAGAGGGGGACGATGAACTGTCCAATACATACTGCTGGGACCTGAAGTTGCTCCCCGGCGGCACTCATTTTTGCGTTGCGTCCGACATTGCTAGAGGAAGCCATGGAAACTTAAGTTGCAAAGTTTGGTGGAAGAAGGCTTTTCGAAGCGTTTCCCATAGACGACGCCAATTGATGATGCGCGACCTGATCACTCCTAGCTGGAAGGGGCTTCGCTCCTAGCTGGCGTTGGATGAGATACCTAAGGAGGAGAAGAAGGTGAAGGATCCCGTGGGACTTGCCTGGCGGGAAGAGAGAGTTGCGAATGCCGAGGTGATGCGGGCCTGGACGGCTGAGAGTCCCCCGACTTGATTACATGCTGCGAGGTGGGGGGGAGTAACTTGTCTTTCCCTCCCACGGGATGAGACCTGACTCCCAAGAGGGTTCTGAGTTTGTGAGGTCTCTACCCGACGGGGGGGTTGCTCGCTGCGACGGCGGGGCTTGGCCTGCTGTGCAGTGGGGTGTCGAGGAGGAACTTGTTGCTGGTTCTGGGGCAGTGGTGGAAACTGCTGTTGATACTGGTGCTGATAGACTTGGTGCAACACTTGCTGCTGATACAGCTGAAACTGTTGAAACTGTTGCATTTGGGCCTGCATAGCTTGCATGCAGTGCACCAGGTCTTCAAGCTGGTTTGGCCGGTTGCCGGAGGAACAATGGATGGTTCAGCGAAAGTTGCTCCTACTGTGGAGGGGAGTGGAGCGTTCACATGTGCTATTATTTGAGGCACATTCAAAGTAGGAACTCCATCTGCAGAGAGGGGGACGGTGAACTGTCCAATACATACTGCTGGGACCTGAAGTTGCTCCCCGGCGGCACTCATTTTGCGCTGCGTCTGGCATTGCTGGAGGAAGCCATGGAAACTGAAGTTGCAAAGTTTGGTGGAAGAAGGCTTTTCGAAGCGTTTCCCACAGACGACGCCAATTGATGATGTGCAACCTGGTCACTCCTAGCTGGAAGGGGCTTCGCTTCTAGCTGGCGTCGGATGAGATACCTGAGGAGGAGAAGAAGGTGAAGGATCCCGGGGGACTTGCCTGGCAGGAACACTCCGATGCTTAAGTTAGTAGCAGGAAGAGAGAGTTGCAGAGTAAAAATGAGAGAGCTAGAGTGCAGATCACGCAAGTTGCAATACCCTTGCTCTTTGGGGGTCGGAGCTCTTATATAGCGGTGTTCTGACAGATCTGGCATAACTGCCTTTGATTCTCTGCTGCAGCCGTTACTTACTAGGGCTGAGTTGGTGGGCGCAGGTAACCGTTGCAGAGTATGGCCCTGCTAGACAAGGGACACCTCTCAGGGCTGGAAGGCATGACACCGCCTGGCGAGAGACGTGGGTGCAGGTCTCCAGGTTTGGCAGGTACAATTGTCAGACAAGAGAGTTTCTTGTGATACGTCGAGCTACTCTTCCGCGGCTGCCTTGTACCGAGCTACCCTGTGCCGAGCTGCAGGTGCCGTATCGAGGTGCTTCTTCCCGAGGTGGCCTACTTAGGTTTGGGCAGGAGTAAATTTATTCTAACTTAGGAGGCTCCCGAGCTCAACCCGAAGTGCCTTCAGCTCGGGATATTCCCGACTTGGAAGAACCTTAGCTCGGGGTAATCGGAGTGTCATCTCGTAGCCGAACTGCCATGCTGGATCTTGGTCGGACTGGTCGTGCTGATTTATCGCTTATATTAAGTCACGTCCACGTGTCCTATTATGATGAGGTCGGGTCAAATCACCCTTCATCACTTCTCATGCATAATGCGTTAGAGAAACTTAATAATATATAACCGACTCTAAATCTCCTTATATTAAGTCACGTCCACGTCTACCCACAATTCATTACTCCCGTGAATTACATAATACTATGCAAAAGTTGAGATATTTTCCATGTGACGCCACGATAAACTAGGACCGCCCATGAAGGATGTATGGTGTTGGGAATTGGGATCGAGTGCTAAGAATAAGCAGCAGTCCTCGACCATCCCCCCTGAAAAAAGACATTAAATGCCATATTAAAATCATACTACAAAACTTACCGTAACGCCACTTAACGAAACCCAATAGACTACAAAATGCTTTTAGACCATAAAAATGAGGTGGGTGCTAGGAGGATTCTTAGGGGAAATCCGGATTCATTTTGTGCAGGGCCAACTTTCAACAGTTATACAAATTCTTTGTTCACTAGAATTACTCGAATAAGAATGAAAGAACCTAACGAAACAGCGAAAGTAATTACCCTCCATTTTCTTTTTGGGTAAATTACAAAATCTTTCACTAAGTTTCTAACAATCATAACAATATCTCCCTTGAAATTTTGAAAAAATCACAGAAACCTCCCTTCCGTTGATGGAAAATGTGTAAAATTGTAGAATTACGATTAATTAATCGTTAGAGAATCATTGAAAATATATTAAAATTCTAAAAATGTTCTCATTCGATTAACAATACTCTTGCGATTTTATGAGTCTTTTTCAAAATTACAGAATAGAATTTAAACCCTAATACTAATAAGCACTTGCAGTGGCACCATCATTCAAAATATTTCATTCACCTAAGAATATTTCACATTTTCTGGAAACTGTTCTTCACCAGCCACTGTTCTTTATCGGCAACTGTTCTTCATTGTTTGTAATATCTATTTCCCCCTTCAAGCAATTTTTCACCAGAGTTTCGTTTCTGTTGCTATGAGGATTGTACTTCACAAATAGATGCGAGTAATCTCTCACCAATACCGCATGAAAAAATAATCAAGGCGACAAGAAATCAATTCCCCTTCTACGCTATAATTCGTTAACATTTTCTTTTTCCTTTTGAAGATGTTACTAACACCATTGGTGGCTTGTAAATTAAGTAACTAGCAGCTAACCAATAAGAAATCGGGGACCAACTAGAGTTATACTTCACCCAATAAAAAAACAAAAACAATTGGGGTGTTTGGAATCATAGGCATTTATTAAATAAATATTGTCACATAAGTGCCACATCAACATTTCTCCCATTATGTAAATCAGTATATATAGGGATTTGCAAAAGTAGGCTTTGGTTTATGTGTGCGCTTATTATTGGGGGAAGCTTCATTTTAGCGTTTTCTCCAACCGATAGGCATTTATTCACAATTTTGTTGATATAGTGATTAATAGTACATAAGTGTTAATAAATAAATTCATTATTGTTTTTCTGGATTTTTCAAATAAATCAAATACAAAACGTTTAGCCAATAAGTGTCCATGATTCCAAAGACGTACAATAAAAGCACGAATTTGTTGAAACCCACAAAAACCAAATCAGAGATTCAATCATATGGGTTAGTGACCGAAGGAAGGTTTCTATTGATTTTTGCAAAAGTTCAAAAGAGGTATTTATTGAAAGGAAATTAGAGAGGAGATTTTTATAATTGTCAGAAACTTCAGGGGAAGTTTTTATATTTTACCCTTTTCTTTTTTGTCACAAAAAAGACGAGCAGTTTGAATGAATTAACGTGTCATGCCCGAGCGGAAGGAAAAGGGACCTGCGCAAGCCAAACTGCTGTTGCTCCACATGCTTGCTCCAATACTCCTTTGCTCCTTCCCCTCCCACACAAGCAACTCAAGATAACCTTTAATTCCTTCCGCCTCTTCATTCTCCGTTCGGTTCGGCTGTTCCCTTCTGAAAATCCATATTCATTTAGTTTTTCCAGCCAGATCTTTTACTGGCGGTTTGAAATGGACGGCCAGCGTCTCCGGAGGTTCGGAACGAGCATCCACATAATGGCCCTCGACGGTATCGTTAACGTTAACTCTCTTTTCACCTTAGCAGTCTTCATCGGCCTGGCTTGGAACCCCACCGACCCCAACAATAGTCTCATCGACGATCCCAATTGCTTTCCTAGCCCAAAAGTTGCTGAAGACCTCATTGCCTTCCATGTCTACTCCTTCAGCTCCTTCCTATTCTCCAGCCTCATCGCTCTGGGGCTCAAACAGGCCATCAGGATTGCAAAGAACTCCGATGTGCACGATGGCATGATGGCGCGCGTTAACAAGTCGGCGTTACGAGTCGGAATCATGGTTTCGGCAGTTGGGTCGCTCTGCGGGTGTGGGTGCCTGATGATGGCGTTGGTGAACGTTGTTCAGATCAAGCTTGGGACTTTCTCTTGTGGGAGATTCTACAGCTATGGGGCCATTGTTCCTCTTCTCATCTTTGTCCCCGCTGCACTTCTCATTTATGTCTTCACCGTCTTGTACGCTTTTACTCGCTAACTTTCCACTTTCCCTTTCTTGGTTTTCGTCTTTAAGCTCTTGATAGATAGGTTACTTGTATACTGTATGAGCATCACACTGATGAGAAAAGGGCAAGGAATAAAAAAGATTTATTTTTCATCTTAAACAACGAAAAAGAAATTGGAAAAAAAAAAACATACTTCCTGTCGAAATTTTCTGATGCATGAATTGATGAAATTGTAATGAGATAGCAATTTATGTTCATCCCATCTTTATAAGATTGAATATCAGTCAATGAGTTTATTTCAGAACTACAGGAATTTTTATTCGTAAAGAAAGTTCCGGATTTTTTGCAGAAAGAGGAAAGGATAGTTTTTCTATTTTATTTTTATTTTTCTCTCCTTTTGGTTGTTGGATGGATTTATGATACTAAATATTACTTGATTTGCTATGACCTTTCGCTGCAAAATTGGCAATTTGGGGTGGAGATGGGCATCAGTCATTCAAGTTTATAGTTTTGAGATACAGCATTCAAGTTTTAAATAGCTCTGTGTTCTGAGTTCTGGCCTCACCCATTCCCTATCAGGAGATGGCAAGCAATAAATATGTCATCTTTGTTTTCAATTCTTTTTGCTACTTCCTCTTTATCATCTCCTTCCTCTGTTCGTTTTCATTTCTCTTTTGGTCTCATTGCTTAGGCCCCTGCAATTCCTCAAAGCCCATCATGCTGCAAAACCAAAGCCTACCCATTCTTCTCTTCTATTTTCCTATCCTTCTTATAACCACCTCAGAAGCTACTCAAACTTCAAGAATTGGACACATAGGAATCTTGCCAGAGGACTTGAATGACATTCATTAACTCTCCGCCCTGGTCTTGTCAAAAGAGGCCATGAACTCCACACACTCATCACCTCTTGTTCCCTAGATACTGAAAGACCAAAACACATTTTTACCCACCCAAACCAACAGCTGCTCGTTACCTTGTGTACTCCTAAGCAACAATTCTAACTAACCTTTTGTGATTCTTGTTAAAAGAATTGCTGTTTCTTGGCATTGGGTTTGTCTATGAGAATGAGACCATACATTCTGGCATCATTCAGGAGTTTGTTTGCACTCATGAAGAACTCCAGACATATCCACTTTGCAGTTATTTCCTGGTCGCACCTACGGTCATGCTGGTGGTCTTCTGAAGAGGAATTACATGATACCGGATGAACGAGTTCACACCATTATTACATTAGTGGTGTTGATGAGGAAATCTTCAAGCCAAGACTTGAGAAGTGAGAAAATTTAGATAGATGACTGGCGTTCCTGAATATGGAGTTCTGGTTTTGGAGATGACTGGGAGATTTACGGACAGAGAACATCCAAGAATATTTTAAAGTGGAAAATTGGGGTGGTAGATACAAAGACCTTGGGTTCCTAGTCTTTGGGCCAATGGAAAAGAAACAACGGGCACGGCAAGATTGTGCAATGCATAACCCAACTCTTCAGGCTCAAGTTGGATTTATACCTTTGGTACTTACTTGCTAGAAACAATGCATTTTGGTAAGCCAGTGTTGGATAGGACGTTCGTAAGTATTATAGGGTGTTTTGTTGGCTCAGAGATGGACTGCACATTTTCACTTAATGTAGTTTCACTGTAAAATATGGTTAGATGGAAGTGGAACTTTGGAGAAGAAGAGTCAGGTGGTTAGAGGCTTTAACTTGATTGTGGCTACTAGGACGGATGCTGCTTATGAAGGCTCTTTGCATACAGCATACCTAATGATAAGAAAATAAGGGAGGATTGAGAAGATCATCATAGCAGGTGCCTACTTCCATAGTGTTTGGAGTTGGAACTAGCCAGATCATCCTTAACCCATTTCAGGAGTTGGTGCGGGCAATAATACAAATGTAACTGGATGGAGGAGGATTTTCTCACCACAGTTGTTGAGGAAAAAATTGAAGGTTCAAGTAAAGTAGATCATCCTTTTTAGGGATTTCTTTTAGTTACAGGTATTTGGACCTTGCAGAGGTTGATGGGACTGGTGAGTGTGGGAATCTTCAGCTGAAAGAGAGGCTTGGAAATTGGCTCGTTGTACGTTAGCAGCACAAGATGAGCATGCTGAAGTCTGACAACAGAGAGGAAAGAGGAAAGTGACAAGTGCTGCCTTCAAGTGAATAACATGGGCACGAACCCAAGTTGTGTCTGCATTGTTATGCCTTCTGCGACTGCCAAGAGTTCTTGAGCCAAATCAAGGTTTCTTTTACCATTTCTCCCTAGTTGCAACCTCTAGGTTACATGTGTGAAGGTAATTGCCATTTAGTTTTTCCCAAGTTACATGCTTTTGCAGTAGTTTTTCCCAAGGTTCATAGTATCGATACGTCGATATGTATCGTTCCGGGACCCCTCCGATATATCTCTACAATGAGTTTATTGGGGTCTGACTGATTCAGGGGGTGGAAGAGCCCTAAACCAGCCCCCTGAACCGGTTGCGAAAAAAATTAAAAAAAAGGCACAAAATGCAGTATTGAGCATATCGATATTTTGCTGCGACTTTATTGCGTCAAATAAGTGGCCTCTCCATCAGGCATCAGCCAAAGATCATTAAAGCATAAATGAAGGCTTTGACAGTAGCAGCATGGCCAAGTCTTTGGATATGCAGAAGTAAAGTTTATAATGGAGATGAATTTGAAGAAACACAGGCAGTTTAAGGGTCATCTTATTAAGATAGACTAACGCCTAACGCCTTACGCCTTTCAGCATATTTTGGATGATGTCTTGGATGTTTGCAAATGGTTTTGATCCGTATGTTTTCTCTGTTTGGTCTTAGTACTTGTGGTTCGAAAAAAAATAAAAAAAAAATATATCGATATCGTCCGAAGTATTAATCAGTTCTCTCTCTCTCTGAATCATGGTCAGGTTCATATTATACATGGAAACTGGAAAGAGCCATTATCCCATAATAAATATCAATGGAGACTAACAGTCGAATTTGCAACTATCATATTGTCTCTTTTTTCAACTTTGGATGTAAAAAGAAAACAGGCCCACAACATATATATTCATAGCTACAACTTGGTGCTGAAAGCCAAGCAACATTGACTAACCACATATAGAATATTGGGTCAGAAGACTAAATTCCTATTCCAGAGATGTGCAGCCAGAAAGCAGTAGCAAATGTTAATGTTGCATATCACTCCTTAACAGTTAACATCTTTCTCGACTAAAACCTACTATAAAACAAAATTATACCTATAAAAGGTTCTGCGCTCCACCTTTCACTTGGAGAAGCAGAAACAAACACATCAGGAATCTACTCCCACGCTGGGCCAACTATAGATATTTATGACACATATTCTTCTATATTAACGAAGAGAAGATCTTAAACAGCTTCTCAGACTTCATTAGTTCCTGGAAAGTATGCAACCAAAAAAAACAGCAAATGATTAGTCGGACATCTGGCAATGAAATAGGACGCATTTTACCACACCAAATTGACCAAAATAAAGCATTACATGATTCAAGCAAATTCAGACCCACTCAGGCTACCATTTTCATGAATTCCACAAGAATCTCTTCACATAAATACCAAATAAAAGTTCACTCTTTCCCATAGACAAATTCCTTGGCATTTAGCTTACCAATTTTACAACTTTTTTTTACTCAGAGAAATGGAATAGAAGACAATAACAAACTTGATTTGACCAATAACCATGGTTAATTTGTCTCGGGCTTTGGGATATGAAACCCCTCAGAGAAATGGAATAAATAAACGTTTAATTTTGACAAAGGGTCAATATAGAATCACCATAAATGATTCTAATAAATTAAATACCTTATTTATAAACGGAGAATGAATATACTCTGGCAGACAAGGCTTTAATAATAGAGTGATCCTGCAGTTGGAAAAATCAAGATGTTAGCATTCTGTTGTCTAAACTCCAAAAGTGAAACTCTCTCAGAAAGTTCCTCCCGTTTCCAATACGAGCCATTATTTCATACCTTGCCACCAATTTCCCCTAGAGGCACTGTTCAAGCTGCTTCCATTTGGATCATCTTCTCCTCCATCTTTCTTGAACTGATATAAAACAGATTGCCCATGTTAGAAGATTAGATCCTGGGTTGAACAACAACAGAGGAATACACACGCTCTTAGGGAGCATGAATAACATTCCTTGTATAAATCCCTATTCAAAGAGGGTACTACTCCATATCAAGAATAAAGGAATATTGGTTGAACTGCTGAATATCTTTTCTGGTAAAAGGTTTCATCACATCTAACATATGGACTTCAGTAAAATAAATAGGAATAATGTCCCCTGTTTTCCTGGTTGTCTATGTGCCACACCTTCCCATCATAATGTGAATGCTAGCCTCTTGACTGGTGCACATCTTTTGAATATTGGTTCTGATTCATGAACCTTCTCCAAATGTTAAAAAGTTTGGTTTCTATTATTGGCTCTAGATTGATGAGTGGGTGATGATTCTTTTGGACTACTGGTCCATTCAACTATCCAAGAAGTGGTCCAGGTTGATCATTGGTGACTCATACACATGCGTGCCTCTATCAATCATGTTTAAAAAATTTTGCATAAACATGTAATGGTAGAATATTTATGAATTGTACTCACGATAGGGTATGACCCAGAGCTTCGGATGTTTGGAGATTGAGAATAAACATCCTGGCCACCATAGTAAAGAGACGAGCTGAGAAAGCATGGTTCTACTGTGCCATGGTTGTTCCCTTCGCTGTATTGAGCTTTTTTCTCTGAGAAGAGACCACATGTAAGTCCAGGAGAGACATTCACCAGAAATTCATGTTTTCTGAAGGTGAGAAGACATCAAAGTTGAAAAATAATCCAGTAATAATGGCAGAGATGAGTATAGTGTGAAAAGGATGAAATTCTCATATAAAGCATCATTTGTTATTGGCTTAAGTAAAGTGATAGAGTACAAAAATATTTTATACAAGAGTCACTTAGAATCACATGGTTGCACCTCCAATAGAAGAGGTTTGCTTGTTTAAGTTTTACTCTGAAAGTCAAAGAATGAGGCTAGAAAAGCACACCAGGAATGAATTCAATAGATACTCTTGTCTAAATCTACACGAAAAGGATGAACTGAACTCAAGTGACCAAAACGTGTTTGGATAATAAAACAACAATCTTTGAGGATGATCAACTCACAATCTTATTGGTGGGGAAGTTCACTGAACTCCTGAAGAGGTGATTGGTAGGATGAAGTATATTTTGAATAATTCATTACAAGGAAGGATAAAGGTTTGGAGGTAAGCCAAACTTTGTAAAAACAGAATCTAGACAAAATGTTCAAAAACTCTGCAAGTTATGCCTCAGCCAGTTGAGAAAGGAAAAGGTTCATATATTGGAACATGCAAGCAGAACTGAAACTACGATTTATTGACATGAGCAAAATATATAGAACAACCATCAAGATTGTCTAATGAATTTGTAAGACCATTGGTATCCCCTAAAGGCTAAAGCTAAGCTGTTCATTGTATCCGTTAAATCGAGTGTCTTCAAACCTGCAACTCCCTGTTTAGTGTTGCAGACGGGATTAGCCTTGTCCTGGTTTCTCAATGACCCAATTAGCTCAGAGTGAGAAATATCCCTGCCTATGGCCTGGCATCAGAAAAGCAAAAAGAAAAGAGAAATTCAGCACAAATGCACAAAAGCCAACGAAAAACAAATACATTAGCAGAATCAGCGATTAATATGTCCTACAGAAGAGCCTACAAAACAAGCTTTACACAAACCCATTACAACATGCAGGTTAGAACTTGTTATTCAATCCAAAACAATCTCTTCTTGCCCTTCTTTTCATTCTTTTGTAAAACCAATCAATTATGCAAAACCCAACAAACATATCAAACAAATGACAAAACCCAATGCGTCAAAGGATGGACAACAACAGACCCAAAAGATCAAAGGTAAAGGGAAGCAGAAAAAAACAATAAGACGAAGAAAATAATACCGTCGAAGTCGACGGAAAAACAGACCCAAAGATTCCCGACGAAGAGGAAGAGGAGTCCTTGACACCGAAAAGGTCGGAAGGGAAAGAAGAAGAGCCCACTTGCTTCCTACCTTCCATACTTCTTTCTTTCCTCTCTGTTGCTCTCTTTCTCAATTAACAAATAAGACTACCTCAGAACACTGATTGATATCTCCAACAACCACCGGTCTCAGGTCCCGGAAAACCCAAATCAAGGAAGCAGGATAATATTTGCAGAGGAACAAGAAGATAAGAAATGAACAGAGAAAACACGTGAAGATTCAAACGACTAGACACTGACGAGAAGGCGAAACCGTCTCTTAAGGATAATTTATAACCCAAAAAAGACGGCCCCGGCGTGCCGCTCATGTGCTGTCACTTAAAGCACCTCGCTATTTTCTTCTTTTATTTCACTCGCCGACGATTTCCTTGTGTATCTGATCTGATTCTCTTCTCTCTCTCTCTCTCTCCCTCTGTAACCCATCTTCTTCCCCTCCAACGAACAAAACCTAACGGATAAGCGACACGTGGGTCCGCATTCTCGCCAGGTGGACCTCCCGCCCAATTTCCAACACATTTACAGCCACGTTGACGCCAACGGATAATAACAACCTCTTCCTCCCTCCTTCCCCAGTTTGTGAGTCAACCCTCCGTCATTCAATTCCTTTCCTCTGCCTTTTCCTCTTTGGCTCTTTTTTTGTCCATCAACAAACTGTAGCTGTTGAAGCAGAGATAGAGATAGAGAGAGGGCCAGAGGGGCCGGGTAGAGAAACCACCTTATCTAGTTTATCTGCTTGTCGGATCAACCGGTATATGTAGGGTATCCATCCGATTCTTCTGCAGATGGGAATGAATGAATGGGAAGTTTGTGTTTTTATCAAAAAAGTAGAAGAATATTACTGATCTACCAAATAAGTATAAGTCAATGGGACACAGGAAGGAAAGCTGAGTAAAGATAAACTGATTTGCTCGAACAAAGTTAGTTAGCTCAGGTAATAGTAGCTACCCAACTAATTAATTCAGTTGAGAATGTGGGAAGGGAAACAGAAAATGGGCAAGTGGGTCGGATCAAGAAACAATGCCCCGGCCATGATCTTACATTCTTACTACAGGCTACAGCACAGCAGCATCCAAGTTAGAAAGAGATTGTGGATGAAACTTGAAAGTAGAAGCCTTATTCTCCCGGGGCCACCCACTGAATCGTCAATTGTTTTATATTTATTTTTATATGGAATCAACATCTGACAAGATACCCAACAAATAAAACAAAAGAAATAAAAGAGGGGGAAGGAGAAAGGGAACATGGCAAGATATGGATACTAGGGGAAGGGAGTCCACCTGGCAAATATTTTTGACATCGATCTCTACTAGTCGCCGCATGTTGCATTGGTATTCTACCTCTGCCATGTGCCACGTCATCTTCCCTATATATCCCGCCAACAATTTCTCACCGGCTGCCACAATAACTCCCACTTTTCCACTCATTCGTCAAAGATTGAAAGACTACTATCTTTTTTATTTGAGAACCCATTGTAACCAAAGGTTACTTTGGTCTTCTGCCGTTTGATAATGGCTGAAGTTGCTGAATGTCCAACTCTTAACAATCTACTAAACAATAAATCATTCAATTCAGCCATTGCCAAACAGCCCTTAGTGTACATTATTCAGGGATAAAATTCTTTAAGCCACATCATATATAGGAAGACGAGTCTCTCGTTGGATAACCTAGTTCTAGTTGGCTTCTTTTTCTTTTTAGGGTAAAATATAAAAATCTCCCCTCAAATTTCTTATAATCATAAAAATCTCTCCTATAGTTTTACTTTAACAAAAACCTCCCTTAAACTTTTAAGAAATTTAACAAAAATCTCTCTTTCTTCATTGATCCAAACGGAAAACGTTAAATCTCACTAAGCTTTGCTTGCTCCCCCTCACCACCTTCGATTCCGGCCACTCTAGGCCCTTGATCTGGTCCAGGGACAGCTTGGCCAAGGAGATTGTAAGGACGCCATCCTCCAGCTTGGCCTTCACCGACTCTAAACAATTTCTGTTAGYTGGAACTTGTGAAGATGTGCAATTGTAAGAGTTTTCCGCCACGAATTATCGGAACTGCCTCCAAAACTTGCGAAGATGTGCAATTGTAAGAGTTTTCTGTCACGAACTGTCGGAACTACCTCCAGAACTTCTACACATGTGGCTTTAAAAAATTGACGGTAATAGCCAATTTCGGTGAAGTTTGATTGAGTAACTTTCCTACCAAACTACAGGTTCCGCCGAACACTGATTGCTTCCAATGCAAATGAATTCAGCGAACCTTGAAGAGAAAAAGAGATGAGCCTCTAGCGACGATTAGCCGATGACTATGCATTATGTTCTCTTTCATTCATGGCCTTTACGTTATTATCGTTGAAAATTTGAGTGTCCTCCTTGGTAAAAGCATTAAGTCGATGTTTTCCAAAAATATTTCAAACGAATTCTAAGATCAATTTATCTTTTCTCGAACATGGGACACCCAATTCTTTTTTTCTCTTATGTTCAGTGTCTTCTTCTTTTACTCTTCTTTTGCATTTTCAACCCCAAGGAGTTATTTGAACAGATGTTCCTCTCTATCAGTTGAAGATTTTGCTTCAAACGTTCTTATCTCTCCTAACAAATGGTTCATCTGTGGATTCTACCCGATGAGCACAAACCATACAACTTCTCAATCTGGTATACCAACTTAATGGACAAGACAGTTGTATGGATGGCCAACCGAGACAGACCCGTCAATGGTCATCGATTCAAAGTTTCATTGCATAGGGATGGGAAAATGGTGCTTATAGCTTAATTGTCTAGTCCACTAACACATCGGATGTCGATGCTTACCGATTCCCAGTACCCGTCCAACGATGATACTAGGAATTTCGTTCAGCAATGGGAACTGTACTCTAATTTCTCGTTCATTACAAGAGGAAGCATGGTGGAGAGGTATGGGAATAAAATAAAAGAGAAAAAAAATGCTAGAGAGGAGAAGATGAAAAAAAGGAAATGTAATGGAAGAAAAAGGTAAGAGGGAGTCTAGAGATTCAGACCTAGTCGACAGAGGATTGATTGGTAGAAGCAGAGGCGGTCGTTTCATGTTACAAATGAAAGGAATTGAAGGTAGAAGAAGAAGAAGAAGAGAGAGAGAGAGAATGATTGAGAAAAATGGGGACCATAGTTGCAGCAGTGGCACAGTAGCTCAGCTACTACTATTGTTCGAATAGATGAAATCGGTAACCAAGGGGTGTTTGCAGTGACAGAAGAAAGTCAAAACGATGGGAGATGAGGAGGAAGGGAAAAGATTAATTAAGAGAGAGAGAGGAAATTAAAGAAGAGGGAAGGTTGTAGGGGGGAGTGCACACCATTCCAGCACTGTGCTTAATGAGGAAGAAGATGAACAGTTCGAGCGGATTATGAAATTATCGAGATAGGGGTATTTTAGTACAAATAGAATATATTAATTTATAAAAGGGTAAAATAGGTATTTTGAAAAAAATGATCATCGCTTTGGTGTTTTTTGTGTTGATTATTGACGGAAGGGAGATATTTATTGAATTTTTGAAAAATAAAGGGGAGATTTTTACTATAATAAAACTATAGGAAAGGTTTTTATGATTGTCAGAAACTTGAGGGGATGTTTTTGTATTTTGCCCTTCTTTTTATCTTTGCTCGAATTCAAATCCAACTACGGAACTAACGTTCTGACTTTTGGATGCAGGAATATTTCTCTGTGATCCTTTGGAAACAGACTGTCCAAGGACAGTGAAATCTTATTTTCTGCCTAAGTTAAATGTAGCCATTGAAATCTTAACAGAAAAAAAAAAGGTTTTTTCTCGTGCAAATTGCCATCGAATACCCAGTAATCTCCCATGTCGATCGGTTTGTATTACTTGGTACGTAGCAAAATTCCATTTAATACGGTTTGTATTACTTGAGACTGACATAAGAATTTTTTTGAACAGAGAGAGAGAGAGAAACCACTTTTTTAAATTGTGAAAGCAAAATTCCATTTTGATGACTACAGAATGTTGCCAAACTCATACAATTAAAAATAGATAAATAAATAAAATATACTGGATGATTGATTAATCATTGAGGATGCAAATATCCAACAAATGGGTGGATATAATATTAATTTGGTTAATACAGACAAAAATATCAAGAGGAATAAGCGTAATTATATTATATTTTTAATTGTTCATTATCTATAGGTTCATATAAAAATTAGTACGTGTAAGGGTGCAACTCGTGTGAGTTGGATAGGAATGAAGGTCAACCCAGACCCAACCCTAAAGGTGTAAACCTCGGGTTCAGGCCTAGTCGAACCATATCATCTCTGGCACAACCTAATCCAACATAATTTGAGTTGGGTTTAGATTTGCGGCTTTGCACTGGGTCGAGTTGGGTTGGTCGGGTTTAAAAAAAATTATATATTATCTTTTTATATAATCATTTTTTTATTAGGTTTTATGGCCCAAATTCAAAACAAAATTGATTGAATATATGTATATATTTTATTTACAAATGTACATATACACATATATGGATATATATTTATGTGGAATTGGGATGGTTTGGACCAGGCTTAGGTTTCTGGAGAGCTCAGCCCAAACCCAACACAAGTATAGGCCAAACTCAACTTTTCTAGCTTAGGCCCGGCCTGCAGCCTAAGCTCAACTTGTGGAGTATATATGTTAATAAGCGAGGAAATTGCCTTTTATTATCCTATCCATACTAGAAATGCATGGGTCGGGGTTGGTATTAAAAAATGCCTTATGTTCTATGGGGAAGTGATCACTTTCAGAATCCTAATTAAAAGGAAATTGAATTAGTTGCTTGTGAGTTTAAATATCCCAATGTTTAACGTTTTTTAGATTAAAAAAAAAAAAAAACACAGAATTCTGAAGATTAAAAAACAATACGAGGAGGAAACGGAATAAGCTGACATGGACAAATAGATTTGAAGTATGTAGATTAGGAAGTTCTTTTACCACCAAATATTCCATAATGTGTGCAGATCCTTATAATTAATCCAAGGCATCTAATTTGCAGGTCTTATCTTCATATCAAAACAAAAAGACCCCACACTTTTAGGTTGAAGCCCAAGTCCAACAACTCTTATTGGGTCTGGACGATTGGAACCCACTCTTTCAAGTGGTTGTTATCCATACAATTAATACTTAATCAGAAGCACTTTCCAGTTTCCACTTTTTAGAGCAATGCCAAACGTATCAATTGGGTATGGACCAAACCCATTACATTTTAAATAGTAGTTCGATTTTTGAGCACGTGACGAAACTAAATTTATTCTACTTCAACACAAGTATATCATAGAATGTCAATGGACCCTGCAATCCCTTACTATAAAAATAGAATTTGCAACTTTATTTTTGGTGAAAAGGATCTCTCTACATTTCCCACATGGATAGTGTCGTCCAGTAAGGCTCACAGCTTTTTCTTTTTTCAAGTAAATCGAATTTTTTTCCTTCACAATTATCGAGAATTTGGATTTGGGCATCTTTATTCTTGGCTTTGGTTTGGGCCTTTGGGGGGTTATTTGGAGGGGGAGTTTGATTCGCCTTGTCAAAATTGAAGGCAACAGTGACTTTGCCTGGCATTTTTTGGGGCTAACCGAAA